GTTGTAATTGCATTGTGTGATACCGTATCTCCATATATCTCTAGCTGTTTTCAAACGCATTCAATTTTGCTGAGTATGCTATCGATTGGTCAAGTTTCTAACATAGAGCACCGTCCCAATACTCTATGGAGTATGCTTAAACTGACAGTTATTTCATTTTTCTAGTTTGTTCTAACGAGATAATCAGTTGTATATATCAACAGATAACAATAATATATCTAACCATCCTTTTGTAGTATTAACAGGCTAATTTTACTCCCCATCTGCGTGTAGTAGTCGACTGTAAACACCTGCCTTGAGCGCAAAATCACATTTGATAGAGAATAAAGTGTTCCCGCTGAGGTTTTGTCACATTGCGAAATGACCGAATAGAAAAGTCAAAATGCGTGTGGGAAGCACAAGGTATTTCGATGGGAAACTATCATCATAAACTGTTGTACATCCGGGGCTAAATGGAAATTATCTGTTTTTTCTTTTGGTTTTTAATAATAAGTATTCTGTAGAACATTGGGAGTGTAGTTCTCAATCGGATATTTGTTTTGGTTCACCACTCCACTCCAACCCGTTTTCGTTTGTCGATTTAACTACCTGATAGGAATTGTGAACAAATACATTCGATAATTGTATATTGGACACCGCCATTGATGAGAATTATCGATTGGAAGAAATCACATCATCAAATCAGGTTTAGGAGATATTTTTGACGCCAAATGAATTCGCTAAAAACATCATAAAACAATGTTATCTATCCAGCTGGATTACGGTGTCTTTAACGAATATGTTAGACAAATTGTTTTATTTTATAAATCGATATATTCTATATTCTCTGTTTCTGTGGCTTTTGATCAACATATATTTGAGAGACATGGTAGAGATATAGTAATACAGAGTTTGATCAAAGAGTTGCCATGGGAATTACACGTTCTACTCTTACCGTTTTTTGTTTTTAGTTTACTATTGTGAGAACGTGGTCGTGTATACTGATTTGTGTATACAGAAATTTTGTAGGCGGTTCCCCGAAGTTGCATCGAGGATACCTTCTGAACTTCATCCCAACCCCCAACAGCAGTTAAAAAAAATCTAATTGGTTTCGGACAGCAAGCCGGTTTTGTTTGTTTGTTTGTTTGTTTATTTGTTTGTATGTTTGGTACACTCTACCACACGGGTCGTGATGGATGTAAGCCTTGTCCAGAAACCGTATCTGGGATTATCCCCGGGACGGACATGAAAAGAGGTCACAGTCAATCTCTGTCAATCAGTTCCGTTTTCGGAGGGAGCACGAGCAGGGCGGAGCTTGAGGCGGGGGGGTGTAGGGGAGATAATTCACTCAAAAATCACATTAACTAATAATTGCTCGACTAAAAACCATGCGCTCGCACATGGGAGCCGTATATGCGCTCTACGATACCGGTCTATCGGTAATGCTTGACAAAAGATTGATGACTCAGAATCTGGATGACGGAAATGTGTCTGTTCGGATTAGACCCTGGCGTGGATCAAGGTATATCGAGCAGACAGTGACTGGTCGATGTTTCTATCATTCTGGTGAGAAAAGAGGGATCAATCACTGTACTAGATTGTGAAACGGTGTGTGTGTGTTTCCGTGACGCTGCCCGTTCACTGCCCCACCCCGTTTAGCAATTTGTTCCAAACATGTAACATGTGCAATGTGTTTTCAACAGTTTCATTCTAAACCCGTAACAGCTATGATTAGTAAATAACATATATTCAATCGGCTGATCACGAAGGAAGGAGGAAGGTATTCCTCTGTGTGTGTATGTATATGCTGACTGAGAGCCTCAGCCTGTTTAAGAGCGACATAATCGAGTCAGTCAACCAATCGAACGACTTCGTCCCACGCGTGCACTCAAATGCGTTTTTCGGTTTGATGTTGAAATTGGGAAAAGTTCAGTAGCCCCGGTGGGATTCGAACTCAAAGCGTGGATGCCTTTGTACAGTGCACGCTCTACCAAGTTGTGTGAACTACGAGGCCACACCGATAGTGCACTGTTCTTTTCAGATTCGAATCATCCAGTCAGCTAACAGAGGCATATAGCATCCAACAGATAGCCTGTAAGCTGACTGTCACGAGAGGTTATCCTTAGAATTCATCAAAATCCATCAAATCAACTGCGAAGTTTAGGTTTATGGTTCAAAGTGTTGTTTGGTGGACAGAAATCTAGTGTTTATCTGATACGTTTGAGTGACTTTCTTCGGCTTCGATTAGTGTAAACTGCATCGCACCACTCACTCGCTCAGACAAATTTATTGAAACAGACAAACATTTTGACGTAAGAGAACAGGGCGGGGACGGGGGGGGCTTTGAACATACACTTTAACCGTGGATTCTGTTCCCAACCGCCACATACTTGGACAATTCAATTTGGGTACCGCATCGACACTTGTTGTTTCTTTTGTATGCTTCAATTCATGTGTGATCTGATCCAACCATATTTGTTGAACACCCACCATCAATCGCTCATCTATGTGGTTCAGACAAAAACGAATAAGATCTGTGTGTGTGCGTGCGCGCGCGAATCCTTTTTTGGTTTGCTATCATTCCTTCCGTTTTTATTCCTACCATTAGTTATACAAGATTGGCATGATTTCCGCCAATCACCTCGGTCAATCATGGCTTTTACGCTATGCAATGTGACTTTCAGTTTGCTCTGACCTATTAGCCATTCGTCACCTGATCAAATCCTTGTTTCGTTCGAAATGCGCGATATACGTTTGTGTATTTGTTTATTCCATAAAGATTTTGCAAAAATGTCACTGTGCTGTCCTCATCTCAGTGAGATACGCTCCTGAAAAAGAGTGTGCCGAACGAAGATGACATCACATGTGCACGAAAAATGACATTGCGATGAGGAATACTCACCTCTTCACCTCTGATGAACTGTATAAAATAACCCTGTCCGACAGTTATTTACCTCGTGTGAGGTATTTGAAAAAGGGATCTAGGCGCTTGCGTTTGCACAAGCAATAAAAAATAATACAGTAACTTCCAATCACCCCTTACATGTCGTGTTAGTTCTGTAAGCCATAATAGTAGCAGTGGTACTGTTATAATTCCAGGTGGTTGAGGACAGCTGTTTATCACCAATAACGGTCAGAATATGGTTAAATTGTCATGCATGTTACAAAATAGTTCATTTGGAACAAGTTTGCGGAATTCCCGCACACACACAAGATCTATAATGGAACGGTCCACTATCAGATGCGCATTCTTGTGTTCACCGTACCAAACAGCTACTATTTGCTCCAACACGTCTTGTTCATTTTTACTCGTTGAAAGAAACCGCTGATCGCATCTTTTTGTGTACTACTCACAAGTGAGTAGTATCTCACAGTAGTGGTAGTAGTAGTAGTAGCAGTAGTAGTAGTAGTGCTAGTGGTAGTAGTAGTTGTGAATTCAAAACACGGAACAGGCCCATTTCAATGCAGCCCGTGTCTACAATTCCCCATCTAATCAGGCTCTTTTAGACAATAGAAAACAGGCAACTGGTGATTTAAAATATAAACTTAGGTAAACAATTTTTTCTCAATCGGATTCTTCTCCAATTCTTATCATTGATAAATTGTTTCTTTTTCACACGACTACATTTCTGTCAACCCATGCTCACTTATATTAGTGAAATGAAAGTTCACGTATTGATCTTGCCCTGTTTGCCTTTCAATTGACTTCAAAAGAACGTAGGAAGACAGTTTTTAAGAAACAAGCACCACGGGCCATCGGTTACACCTGGAATGTCTATCTCTGTCGGTCATAATGCAAATGTGGAAATGGATATTGGGACGTGTGTTCAGGGTTTATCAATGTCTGCTTGAGAAGAAAGATATAAGTCCAGAGGTTCAACGTGCTTAGAAATATATAATTGTAAGTACTACTACTACTACTAATACTACTACAAATACTAATACTAATACTACTACTACTACTACTACTACTACTACTACTACTACTACTACTACTACTACTACTACAACTCTTTCCATACGTCAACCTGCCAAGGATATCCTTATAAAAACAGACGTGTTCATTGAATCATGTCCGTGGTTTGACTTAATTCATGAGATTTGTTTGAAACTGTGGAATGATAAAAAAAAGCGACAATATGACATCTGTTGTCCTCACTGTTCAAGGAAAAATGAAAAACGTCCCAACCATGTCAAATGTTCTACTTAAGTCGAATTATTTTTCCTCTCGGAGATGTGTTTGGGGTTAACCGTGGACGCTTATGAACACCGTGACGAATTCCGGCAAACACCAAGAGTAAACGACAAACGCATCCTATGTAGTCATGAGCTGTAAAACGTAGAAACCTGTATTTTTCAAAGACTGATCAGCCATATTTACAATATTCCCGCTATCGCTACTCACCAGTCCCTCACTCCAATCGAATATCTGCACTTTCAGGGTAAACAATGCGTTCTGGTGACCAGTGGTGCGGTCGCACTGGGTCGACATCATCTGGGCCGAGATCCAAAACGAAGTAGTCGCGGGGCGAAGGCGGCACTCGGGATGGCCGAAATGGTCTCACTATACGGACATTTGTTTGAACAGTGCGATTTGCGGACAGCTGCGGTAAGTTATGCTGGATAACAACCTTACAATCTGAAGTGGACCGTGTCCCATGGATAGTATCCCCCCCCCCTTTTTGCAATTACTTATGACCATTTTCAAACGATAGAAAATCTCCAATCATGTTCAATTCGATACACTTTTTCGGGAATTTTACTGTGTGAACTAAATTCCGCCTTACACTTATCGAAATAATAGCCGTGGAATCGGGTTAGTCTCAGAGATCGGATTTAAGAAACACAGATTAGCACGTACGTGACGCAATCATACACACACAAGGTTAGCTTTGCCATAGCCCAATTTACTTCTGATGACTCTAGGACTTAGGTCACAACCGTTCCGGAGATAGGCTACAGAAGTTGGTTGCTGTTCACGAATTTACATTCCCATTGATCCATAGTACCGCGATTGAGACAGTTGGATTTCACTCGTTTCAGTGTACAACACAGTATCCTCACAGTGTCATGTTTCACCGGGATTCTAGGGGTACCAAATGATTGCTATACAATCTCCTCGAGGTTTTCAATATCATCAAGAGTTTTGGATCGTTTCGGGATCTATGCCCAATGTTTCTTTTGTTTATTTGATGCGGTTATGAATTCCTTTCTTAGGGCCACTAAACACGCTCCCATTTCAAAAATAGCTACCACTGTTATTCAATCGATACTGCGCGCATGCTTACCTAAACCGCTGTTAAAACCAGCCAACCAATGTGATGCGTTACGCAAGCTCAATCCAATACTGTCATGTGGGATGATGTTAAACTACATCCAGCTGTAATCGTTTATCAGCAAATTAGGATTGCGCTAAAAGCCAGCTTTGGTCTGTTTTACCATCAGAGTATGCGTAGAGAGGGTTGTTCACAAGAATACTGTTTTGACGAAACTACATGGCATTTCCCCAATATTGTTGCCATTTAAACACATTAATCTTAGATAGATATTACGGTCAAAGGTCTAAAGAAGAAGAAGAAGCACTAGATCGCTGTTTTCGCCTCTTCAGAAATCGACAATCGCGCACAAATTAATTTCCCATCCAAAAATGAAATCGTAAGTTTTTATATTTTAATCCGTGATCCACAGTTTTGAATTTGAGAAATAATAACTCCGAAATAATTGAACTTCAGCGTATTGAGGCTACGAACCCCAAAAATCATACACAGTTCCGGGTGCTGTGGTGTACTACTCACATTTATGAGTAGCGTGCGCACACAAAGAAGAGGTTGTTGCATTTTCGTGGAATATTTGAGTGAAATAATGGATTATTATGTTGGAAGAGCACACAGAAGAAGCAAACAGATTGCCGGGCTGATGATCACGAAAGAAAAGACGTTCAGAAAATACTGATCAAATGTTGCAACTTCGATTTTCCGTTCATCGTGTAATCTTATGCAACCCTATCCTAATCTGTTCTTTAAATTCATCGCTTCCTTCGACCAATCACTGGAATTTTCGAGTCATAACATTGATAGCTAAATAACCCGTTTTTAGCTTTCTATAAACAACGAATTTTGGTGCATATCAGATCGCCCTCTCGAACGTAGTCCAGAAAAGCTGCTATCTCTCATCTCTGAAAACCGCATCGAGTTTCTTACAATCAAAACCCAAGGGATGAAATTTATTGCTATATGCAACGTTTAGAGTCGGTCCGTTTGCCGAAAGCAAATTCTTCTATACGTAGGCTATGTGGGAACGTTGCTCTTGAAATCGAAATAGTAGCTTCATAGAGCATTTTTCCCGTGCACGTCCAAAAAGCCACTCACAACAGCCCTCAGCTCAATAGTTATCGATAACCTTGACTAATCCCATGGCAGTTGGATGCCTCAATTCCACATTGCTGCCGGAAAACGTAGGATGAGCATCTGTTGGCAATCGAAATAAAGACTATGATCGACCGCGTAGGACTTGAGTGATTGTGTGTGTGTTAAGCCTAAAATCGAAGTCCGAACTGTTAGACCGGTGTGTGTGT